GTCCTCTATAACACTGATAGAGAGATATGCACAGTTGTTTGCTCCCCCAGGTATTAATGCATACTCTGAGTTAATTAATAAGGAAAAAAGTGATTTTATTACATACAGAAAATAGGATTTAAGTGGTTCCAAGTAATAACAGACAGAACAAAGTAAGTCACCAAGCAAAATAAAATAAAATGCACAAATCTATGTCTAATCAAACTGAACACAGATAATCTCACCCTCAGCGATGCTTCAGTAAGTTTTTTCTCAGACTGGACACCTTCCAGGCCTAGGCACAATTCTTTCCCCTGGTACAGCTCTTGTTCCAGCTCAGGTGATAGCTAGGATTCTTCATGATGGCTCCTCTCTTTGTTCTCTTCCACCCCTTTATATATCTTTTGCATAAGGCAGGAACCCTTTGTCCCTCTGGGTTTCCACCCCCCCTCACTGGAAAAGCACCAGGTTAAAGATGGATTCCAGGTCAGGTGACATGATCACATGTCACTGCAAGACTTCATTACCCACTTGCCAGCACACATAGATACAAGAAGACTCACAGGTAAACACAGCCATCTGCAGACAATGGTCCTGGTTAATGGGAGTCATCAACATTCCAAACCACTATTAATGGCCCACACTTTGCATAATTACAATAGGCCCTCCAAGTTATATTTCATATTTCTAGTTTTAGATACAAGAGAGGTACATTTATAAAAATAGGATGATCACACTCAGTAGATTATCAGCTTTGTAATGATACCTTACAAGAGACCTTTTGCAGGAAGCATATTCCAGTTACATTATATTCACTTATGTTTTTATAAAACTATTCCAGTTACATTCTATTCATTTCTTATTATGTTTTTATAAAACCATATAGACTGCACAACGTCACAACAGGCTCACAATGTAATTTGCACTCAGGGGTTCAAAGACTCTTTTACTGGAAGGTCCCCAAAATCCTATTATCTAGCTGTGGAAGGGGCTAAAAATGAATTTGCTGTCTCTCTTTCAAGTCCTATGTTCAAGATTTGCCTTCAGTATATGTGCCTTTGGTGATGTCAGAGGGCTGCCTTGACATAACAGGCTGTTTGGAGGCATGGCAGGGGCATGCCTAGTAGACCCACAAGTCAAAATCCTCTGCAGGGGGCACACAGGCACTGTGGATGGAACTGCAGTGTGAAGGCTGAAACAACAGCCGTGAAGTGACTCTAGTGATGCTCTGCAGCTTGGGTCAATTTAACTGCCAAACTTCTACAGAGACCACTTGCATAAAGCTGAGCACAGAGGTCAGGATCTAGTCCTAAAATCTGGTTATATAAATATCCCAACTGAAGTTTGGCACATACTCAGGGCCGGCTCCAGGCACCAGCCGAGCAAGCTCGTGCTTGGGGCGGCAGATTCCAAGGGGCGGCATTCTGGCCGCCCTTTTTTTTCCTTTTTCTTTTTGGTTTGCTGCTCCGGCCGTCCTGTAGGGGGCAGCGGCGCGGAGGAGGGGAGCGCCCTGCAGCAAGCTCGGCAGGGCAGCCCGCATCCTTCCCTCCCAGCTGACCGGAGCGGCGTAGAGCCCTCCCAGCATGCAGCGCAGCGGGAGGGGCCGCGTTGTTAGCGCCCTGCTGAAGCCCTGGCTGCCCCCTTTCTCTCTCTCCCTCCCTCCCTCCCCCCCCCCCACTAGACTGGGCGTGCACTCCGCTGCACGTCTGCAGCACAGGGAGTACCCCTGCACCCTGGCTCTGGCTGCCCTGCAGTTTTTATTTTTTTTCTGCTTTACCACTCTGGCCACCCTGCAGGTGGTTTGTGTGTGTGTGTGTGTGTGTGTGCGCGCGCTTTTCCGCTCTGGCCGCCCTGCAGGTGTTGTCTGTGTGTGCGCGCGCGCGCTTTTCTGCTCCGGCCGCCCTACAGGTGTTTTTTTTTTTGGGCTTCTCCACTCCAGCCCCCCCGCAGTTTTGTTTTGTTTGTTTGTTTTTTTGCTTGGGGCGGCAAAAAAGCCAAAGCCGGTCCTGCTCATACTGCAGGTTCTCAGCGCTGACATTAATTTTCTTCTAAATTACTTGAAACAGGAGAAAATCAATTTGGCTGCTTTCTGGAAAAATTAAGACAGATACTTGATTGTTCCAGATGTTTTATTTCATTTTTCTCTAGCAAAAAAAGGTTCATGCAGAAATAAAAATTGCCAGCATTTAATCCTAGACACAATTAGTTTGTAGCCATAAATAAAAATTACATTTATATTTTTATATATTTATATTTAAAAGTAGCTAAAGTGTAAAGTAATATTTGAATAATTCATTATTAAGGAAGTGTATATGTGACTAAGAATTAGACTGGAGAAGCTATTAGGGCTCTCAGTATAAGGAATGATGTACTTGATAAGGCTATAACCCCCATCAAGTTGCAAAGTCAAACTGGAGGCATTTGTGTCACTGAGCTCCATGACAGAATAACAGTTTACAGGGATTAAAGTATTTATTACTGAGCACCTTGCTAAAACAACTCTTTCAGCCTCCCCAGTTCCCTCTTCTGTACCACCTCAGCTTCCTCCTTCCCTCTAGGTGCAAAATTCTGCCTTTACCTGAGCGGCTCTTGAAGAGGAGGTGGAAGAAAGAGGAGAGCTGTGAGAAATCAAAGTTTATTTGGCAAAAATGCCACCCTGAAGCTGCTGGCGAGGATGGCTGAGAGGGCACTGCTACAATGCTGCCAGGTACTATTAACAAGGAGAAAGTGTGAATGTGACTAACAGTGACTGCTGCATAGGTACAAGGGGTCTTGGGGCTGGAGATGCCTCTTAACCAGCAGAAAATGTCCCCTTGGGTACATGGGATGTAGGGCAGTGCACCTGCTGAGTATACACCTTGGTGCTCACTTAACTCTGTAAAACATTCTGGGACACAGGTTGCATGAAAGTCACTCCACAAAATAAGGGCCCCAGTCTACAAACCTTTATGGATGTGAAGCTAATTAGACTACTGTAATGATAAAGGACCAATATTGTAAGGATTTGCAGTTGTACTGTAATACACTATATTACAACAAAACATTGAAGAATAACAATGCTGTACTCTTACATGTATAAAACTATTATAGATATCCATAAAACTAACACTAATTTTAGATTTTTAAAACAATTATTTTTACTTTCCAAAATTTGGGGTGCATTCAGCAAAATGTTCATGGAAACGAGGGACACAGGAAACTCAAAGTACAGACTCAGTGTTAGCTTCCTGAAGCAGTTCTGCTCATATTATAGTTTTACCAATGTAAACCTGATCTGCAACGTTTCTATGTATTTCAACCCTGGACCTCTCTGAGGCAGAGAGATTGCCAATTATGGTCAATTACGCCAAACCCTCTGGTGATTTAGGGACATGTAAAAAAACCTACTAAGGTGCTGATTCTGCTTCCCTTACTCACTGACATCATTGTAAGTACTAATCCATGTGATTAAGTGAGGCAGAATCTTGACTTTAATGGTAAGAATAAAACAATCAACTAAGCCTCTACGGGTAAAAGGCAACTGCATTGATCTACTACATCCCAGCACATAGTGGCCTACAGCCATACCATTTCATAAAATAAACAAGGTCAGGCCTGGTCAGTGTTCTGATAGGATATCTCCAAGGAAAACCCTAGTAATGCATTTAGTAGTGTAAGCAATTCTGCCAGCCATACTCCTCTCTCTGAATCATTACAGAACTAATTTCATAGCATGGTGCTAAAAGCACTGCACTGTTAGAGACACTAACGTTTGAAGGAGACACAAACCAAAGTCCTTGCAACTTGTAATTATTTAAGATCCCAAGGCAATTTTCAAGAGAAGAGACGTGTTAATCCTGGTGATCTGGCCAAATTACAATCTCAGTCATTGCATGTAGCCTACCTAAAATTTCCCTTGTAGTTTCACCTGAAGAATTTATTCTCATTTCCTCCCCTTAAAGTTACATAGTTTTACTAGCATATAATTAGTGTAATATTTAAAATCAAAAGAGTAGTGTAACTGCTCTAAACTAATAGGAGAGAGCTCTCCTGTTGACTTAATTACTTCAGCCCCCACAAGTAGTAGTAGATATTTTGGCAGGAAAAGTTCTCCCTCTGACATACCGCTGTCCACACTGGCATTTAAATCAGCATAAGGTATGTTGCTCAAGGGGGTAGCTAATTCACATCCTTGAGTGACATAACTTATGTTGACTTAAACTGTAAAGTAGCAAAGCCTTGACAAAAAAGCCCATGTAAGGACCAACTTGATAGACTATAAAGTAATCTAACAGCCAGTCTTATGCACTTCCACTGATATCGGACATCTCCACTAAGATGTTAATGAAATAACTGCATTCTAGCAGAGCTTCTCATGTACTGTATTTGTACTGGGGTTATAACATAATAAGACCTGCTATTTAATAGACTTCCACTGAGATAGACCAGTTTAAATGATCTCTTCTTCCTACATTACTGTACAACTGCACAAAATTAAACCACAGAACACTGTGGCAAAAGAACTCTGAGAAAAGAATATAGCCTTCAATGTACAAATACAGGGATTCCAGTCCCATTAGTAATAATGAGAATTACACAGTTCAATCTCAATCTTACCAGTTTGAAAAAATATCACCACCCAAGAGTCTGACTTATGTCCACAAAAGCAAGAAATGTGAAATGTCAACCATTACCATCCTCCATTATGCAGAAGGGTTGGAGGACACATAGAACATTTCAACCTTTATTCCACAATGTCTCCCTTTTGTGGGACTAACTCATACCGTGAGTGTCCAGGATGTTTCGCTACTTTAATAGTAAAAGGCTACTATTTCAGCAGCTTGTTGCCACTATCCTACACTAGGCTGTTTTCTTCTCAGCTGTTTTTTCCCTCTCCACTGGATTTAGTGATTAAAAAGTAATAGGACTTACAGTTTACTGTGACTTTTACTTTTTTCACGTCTGGGACTGAGGCATCATTTTCTGCACTGCATTCATATTCCCCAGCCTGGTCTCTTGTAATTCCATAGATGTCCAGATATTGTCCATTTTCAAATGGTTTTGCTGAAATGAAAAGAGAGCGAGAGAGAATAACTTAGAGAAAGTTTAACGGGAGGTGCTTGAAGCATCATTCAGGTATAACAACAAACTCATGATTTTCTTCTGGATATTGCTGACAAAATTATTCCAAATAAAACTGGTCAATTATTATAGCCTTTGTTCTCCTACGTACAGAAAACAATTCTAAGGAAAGAGAAAGTTTAACAAGTGATACTTTAACAACTACTTCCAAGGAAGGGGTATACACATGTTCTTTATAATTGATTAGAGTTCCCTAATCTCAACATACGTCAGATAAACTCAACTGCAAAATGAGCATAGATCCAACAACCTTCTAGCACTGTAGATGAAATTCACCAATATAGTTCCATATATATTGACTTTTGTAAAATATAACATGCTGCTTTGACTGGGAAACTGACACATTTTATATATTTTTAATGGGAAAAATCATTTTGACTAAAGCTTCTGAATCAAAATATTTTATTAACGTAGACATCCATTATATTCTAGCTCATCCAGAAATCTGTATACACTATTGTATATGCCTGCTTTCAAAAATCAAGAACTAGAACAAATAAAAAGATAACCGAGCAATGGAATAGCCAATATCTCTCTACTGAGGAGTGTTTATATTGTGCTAAATTCTTTATTCAATCTTCCTTCAGGCAAAATCCCTTTGATCCCTGTGAAAAACGGATTTATTAAGAGCTAAGTCAAAACTGAGCAAAGACATCTGGGTCGGCCCATTACATAGTAAGCAAAAATGGTATCATAATTAACAGTAATGGCCACATATTTATTTGATACAAAATAAGTTCAGAAAACAACTCAGATATGCGTATACATCACTTGTTGTGGAAGCAGATATGAATGAGTTATTTATTCTGAAGAAGGACAGTTTATGTCTCAAAGGACGAACTGGCTGTCAGGAAGCATGGGTCAGCTGACAGTACTGCTGCAGACCTAAGTTGTGACCTTGAGCAAGTTGCCACAACTCTCTGAACCTCAATTTTCCCAACACTGCACAGAAGTGTTTCCAGGTTTATTGTAAGCACTTTGAGATCCTTAGAAGGAAAGTTCATTTTACTGTCCTTTGAATAATTCTCAATAGACTAAAGAACAAATAAAATACCTTTAAATTCTGCACAAAGTTATAAACATTCACAACAGAACATAAAATAAATTGAAAACCATTAATGAAACCTTACTAAAATGCACAACAGTGGTTATAATAAATCATACCTTGGAATATACATGTTTAAAAAGGGGGAGGAATTGCTGGAAGTTGCTATCCACACTATGACACACAGATAAGATTTGGTCAACTGTTAAGAACCTTGCAAACAATGTACAGAGCAATGGTAAAATCTTCAAATAGTTAGTTGTGTTAGAAATTCACTCCATGTAGAGGATGAGTACAAGGCCTGTTCATTGCTTAAGTTCCACTTAACCCTTATTTTGAGGATGTAATTGGTATATAGGCCTCATGCAGGTTCTCTACACAGGAGTTTTTATACTTATCAAGCTATCACTAACAGGTCCCAGTTACTCCAACTCTTTCACAGGAGAAAAAAACACAGAAAACACCAGTTCCAAAAAGTAGGAATGATAAAACTGCAGTGGAAAAAATATGAATTGAACTGAACAGTGATAAAATCTAGTGAAATAACGCTGCTCTACAGCCAAAATGCTTCTGAAATAAATGTAGTCAAACTTTACTAATTCTGGGTCACTGAGAACGAAAATGATGCTTAAAATTTTTGATTGGCTCTAGTTTTCAAGATATGCTATTGGGTCAGTATATACGACCCTTGACTTGGGAATGGCGGAGGATAAGTGAGGGAAGGGATCTCAATTTAAACCAGAAATGACTAAAATACTTCTTTGACTGGATCTATGAATAAATATATGACTGGGTTTGGACAGTACTTGCTTTTTAGGCAAAACAATGAATGATGCAATCTGAAGCTGGTATTGCGTCATACATGATATGAATTGCATCCTGTTATTCCTAGAAGTCATGGATGATGCAATCATAACGAAGCTTACATCAGTCTGCTGAACAAATTGCCCTATATCAGCTCTAGAAATCATACAGTGTCGTGCTCTCTTATTTGTCAGTGTTTGATTTTGCAAAGGGACACATTTCTGTTTAGCCAAAGTGAGCAGAGATGCCTCGTACTTGTGTGAACAGTGCAGATAACCTCTGCTATGTTTGCAGTCTTGTAGCCTGCAACAACATCGAT